TAGAGATATTAGATTTAGTGAGAGTTTTATTTTGTTCAATGTTAGAAACTGAAATTTTATGCATTAATTAAATTAAGTATTAATAATAATCACTTATAGTGCAAAACGTGATTGCAAACTTAGTGAACTTTCGATTTCGCGACTTGCGAAAGTTATTAACACTTAAATTTAAATTTTTACGATAAAATTCTAGAATTTGTTGTACTAGTATATCATACGCATTGTTTCTGCATGTAGATTAAATCATAATGATTACTAAAAGCATAATAGTGACTGAATTAACTAAAGGCGACAAATTAAACGACGATAACTATAACATATGGCGTCATAAGATTCGATTTGTTCTGTATGAGCAACAAGTTTTGGATACCCTTGAGTCCATGCTATCAGAGCTTGAGTAACCTCAAATCGGCCAAGAACAAGAGAATTACCAGTCTTGGCAGAATAAGAATCGACTTGCGCACTATACCATGCAAGAAGACCTTATTCCTGAATTTGAGAATTACTCCAATGTTCACGCCATGTGGAAGGCTCTAAAAGTTGAGTTTGGTATTACTTCTTTTGTTAGGATTCGTGGTTTGACCATGAGATTTGACTCATATCAAAAGAAGCTAGAACATACAATGAAACAACACTTGAGGGCTATGACCTCTATGATACAAGATTTAGGCGTTGTTGGTCATGTATTGACTAATGAACAGAATGTATCGCGTCAACTTGAGCTTGAGGCTGAGCGCTTGGAGGGTACCAAAGGTGAGAGTAGCTCTTTTGTGGTTAAGGTTGGCTCGCGCAAGACCTTTTGGTCCAAGTGCAAGAGAGGTGAAATAATTATGAGGCTCAAATTGAGATTGGTCACGCACTTTAACAAGCATAAGAGGGACAAAAAGATCATTAAGTTTATTATATTGACATTATAAGGGAATCACATTTAATGGATTTTGTAATATCACAAATGGTTTTATTGTATTAGATATTGATCATTCTAGTGATGAATCTTATTCTTATATTGCATCTATGAATTATGTTGATTCTATTAGATGACATGCTAAATTAATTCATATCAGGCAAGATAGAATGAATAGATTAGCTAGAGAGAGACTGTTGGGCTTATCTCTTTGGTTTTGGAAGCCATTTAAGGCACAATATACACATCAGAGAAAGAGAGAGAACTACAACATCAATTATTTGAGTCTATTTTGGCGTATTTTCGAATTATGGTCATGTTGAAGTTTAAGTGAACTTAAAATTCAAACATGAATGACTATATTTATTTGAACCAATGCGGAGTTCTAAAATCGTGATTGTTTAGACAAATGTAGCGAAATATAAAGTTACCTCTGAATTTTTGTAGTAAGTAAATTAAATTCCAATTTAGAAGACGAAGCAAATGTTGAACTTAACATTAAACAAAAGAAGTAAAAAATCACCGAAGTGATATGTTACAAGAAAAGTAAAATTGCTCAGAAGAAGGAAGCAATTAAAAAATGATAGGCTGACTCTGTGAAGATTTTTTGTGATTGATTGTGCAATCTTTTCTTAGTGGTCTAACCTCTGCTATTTATAGAGATGACTCTCAACCGTCAATCCATCTTTCCGACCATTACTTGTGATCATGACCTTGTCCCTTGAGATACGTAAATATGTGCTGAACCATTTTCAATTGGCGATTCATGATGTCACTTTTTTCTCGTTTCTCAGGATTGTAAGAGTCTTATTCTTCTAACTGTTTTGTTAATTGTGAACTCTCACAGATCCCTTTGTGATCGTTGGATCCTTTTCACGTGTTACAATTTTATCTCGTTATTTTTGGATGTAAACAAAGTCCAACTATGATACTAAAAAATTGATGTCTTATCTTTTCCTTCTTTTTTTTTGGGTCCAATGAAAATATGATAGTATGGGGTTTTTTTTTGGTTTTGCTATTTATTTTTGATTTATTATTTGCAAGATTAATGAATATAAATAAATCAAAATAAGATTGAGAATTTACAATTATTTTCTAATATTATTATAGTCTTCTCCAAACTATAAATCTTATCTAAAGCACCAGACTACCGCCTATGGCAATGTGCTTGTGTCATTGGCAGTAACAACACAAATGTTTGGATCTGAAAGTCATTCAATTGCAATTGGACCAAATCGTGCACCTCACGCGACTTTTCAAAAACTTGGCCCTTATGAAAAATCAAACTTGACCTTTTCCTTTAAATAATGTCTTAGCATCTACAGAATATACCCCGTTCAATTCCACAAATACACCCCCCCCCCCCCCCCCCCCCCAAAAAAAAAAAATCCCATTTTGGCTTGCTTTCACCCTTCCATAACTATTAAGAGGCCTTCCGCTTTGCGTGAGACTCATTATTTATATTAACATTGAATAAAAATATAATAAAGATAATCTAGATCCCTTGAAATAAGCATACTCAATCAAATCCAATTCAAATATTTATTATTGCTGAATTTCTACAATTAGCATGCTCGATAAGTATCGAGCATAGTCGACTGCACAAAAACGAAGCTTCCATCACTATAGAGTTTACAAGATTCATTATGTATATAGTCTTGTTTCTCGCATGTGAAAAAAAAAAATTCTCTAAATTAATACATAATGTATAAATCACAATAAAAATAAGGGGAAATTGCACCAATGATCCCTTAGGCTTGCCATTTATTACACTTTAGCCCTTAAAATTTTAATTTCATCAATTTCGTCCTTAAGTTCAAACATTTAGCTACTGTGATCGTTCGTGCTAACTGTCGTTATCTCTCTATCTTTGTTTCTATCAAAAGTGTCCATGCACACTCACTCATTATCTCTCTATCTCTATTTCTATTTTTGTCTCTCCCTTCAATTTGCTCTCTATCTCTGTCCCTACACCTCGCTCTATCTGTGTATCTCTATGTCTATGCCTCTCACTTCGATTAATGGTGGGGTTTGAACTAAATGCCCCACTTGTGTTTTTGGGACCTCCATGGGCATCAAGCTCTAATTAATCGCACCGCCTTGGAATTGCTCACTAGTAGGACTCACTATCATGCCCAAAGCTGAATTGAAGAAAAATTAGGTTTGAATTAGGTATTTGACTTTGATTTTGAACTTCTTTATCTAACTATCTATTTCGCTTTCTCTCTAGGTTGCTTTGCTTATCTCTATAGAGAATTCATAAGTTTTGGGGGGTGCTTGACAATTGGTATTTGTACCATCTTGATGGAGGTGGCACTGGTCGATTGTAGGCATAGGAAGCGTAGTTGGTGTTGGCCTTACATGTGACAAGGGAGTAGGACGAGGACGAAGGGTGCAATTGTGTTACAGATGAGGGTTTGCTTATGGGGTTGCTAGGTGTAGATGTAAGCTGAGAGGTTGCAATTGGAGTATTAGATTTGAGGGAAGAAACAAAGCAATGGAGATGATTTTTTATTTTCCATTTTGCCCTTTTCTTTGCTTGCAAAATACTATAAATGCCCCTAAAGAGTAGCATGTGTTGAGCACATGGCATTTTCTATCCATTTTTCTAATAGTAGTTAGCGTAAAGGATCACATTAGCTACATATTGAAACTTTGGGGATGAAATTGATAAAATTGAAACATTAAGGACCAAAGCACAATCAATGGCAAACTTGAGGGACCATTGGTGTAATTTATCCTAAAAATAAGGGTTACATATAAAAATGTCCCCTTTAACTTTGGATAGTTATTGATCAAAAAAAAAAAATAACTTTGTATAGTTTACAATTTATTATGTTTTAATTTCAACAAATAGTCTTTTTTAACTTCGAATATTTTTCAATTAACTTCAATAGTTATTTGTAGACCATAAAAATTGATGAAAGTTAAACATGTGAAATTCACGTGATCCCTACTTTATTAAAAAAACATAATTACCCTTGCATTTAATATTTCCTTTTACCAAATATCCATACTCTTTTGGCTAGAGCCGTAACCACCCATACTCAAAATGTTCCCATCATTTCCTACCTCAAATGGTTAATTTTCATTCCCTTCTGTCGTTTAGTTGAAACCCTATTTTTCCTCTTATGAGGCAGAGATGAAGGTGAAGGTGAATAAGGTATTGCATAGTGTGTTAGTGTTGGGTCGAATAGATGTAATTTTTGTCTTGATTTTTTTGTTTCCTTATTTTTTAGGGACAATATTTGTATCTCAAGAAAAATATAGGAAATAATGTACAAGATAGAAGCTCTAATGGTTTTTTCAAGTGTTCAGTCACTGCTGTTAATCAATTTAATCCACTTAAAATTTAGAGGGGTCAAATTACACTATTTAAAATCACGAGAAACTGATTACAACAAAAAACATAGGTAAAGGGAACAAATTGAAATTAACCCTAAAAATAATCATACCACTCTTAATCATTCAACCGTAGGATACACATAAAACCAATGAAATGGTGAACCAAACCACAAAACTTTGGTTCACCATTTTTTACATTGTTGTACCTAATAGTGATATTATCGGATTCAACTCATATATAAATAAATTGGAAGCCACATAATGAGAATCACTTGGTTAAGTTTAGCCACCAAGTTTGAACGATGAGATGCCCAAACCTTGAGTGCTTAAGAATTCAAACTGTTAAAATTTTCTTATTATATTTTTTGTTCAACGGTCAGGGGTGTCTAGATCAGTTTACGCACATCTTGATTAATCTTATCTACGATTCGTTATTCATGTCAAAACTAAAAAATTTATAAGAGATAAATCTCTCGTGACAAGCCCTAAAAAATTGTTAAAATTTCAATTCATGACTGTATATATAGCAAAAAATAGAAAAATTAAACATCAATCTCATATGCTACTATATGATGCTTTCGATTAAACACAACTCTTAACTAAAAATTGCATTCCTTACATGTCTCATACATGGATAGCTTTGAAACTTACACAACATGAACAAATTTATTTCTCATGCTCCGTCGGTCATCTTTATCCATAAAAAGAACATGTTTGAAAATCGACCAGATTTGTAAAAAAAGGAACAAAGTCACTGTGCAATAAAAGAAGCTAAGCGCTTTATGAGATTCTTTGCGTTCTCAGTGTCGGGAGTAAAGATGTGAAAACAATGGTCCTCTCCTTCAACCTCAACAAGCTCCACTTCCCCTTTCCATCCACTTTCTTCCTTCACAGCCTCAACATAATGTACACCTCTGTCCCTTAGAGGATCCTTCTCTGCAACACACACCAACACCTTCGAGCATCCAAGCCCCGATAAGCTTGGCGCATCATCAGCAAATGGATTGATCATCGGGTTGTCGATGCCACCAGACGCCGAAGGATAAACAAACATCCAAATCCTGTATATAGGAATGTGAATCGATTCGTATCATATTATTTTGAATTTATTGATTTAGATACTGTGACACTAATCAAACATATTTATTAACCAGTGTCTTAGAGATGACACGTGAAATTTGGGAATTTTTTTTATTTGAATGATGAGGACTATTCGAGTTTGTTTACGTGCATTTCGACTCATTTGCTCTTCTCGTCAAACACAGACCAATCACGTTAGGACTAGAATATCTATGAAGGATAAATCATTTGTGAGCTAAGATTTAATACATGAATCAATAACTTAAGAGTAAGAAGTATCTGATCTCAACTAAACTCAATATTCCCAATCTTGCATAAATTAAGTCCTTTTGATATGTACGCTAGCAAGGTTAAGTAGGAAATCGTATAATTCTACAAAGAGTGGTACCATATTTGCTCAAAAGAGTAGTAAATCGTATAATTCTATTTTACCTGTAAAGCTTCATCTGTTCACTTTTTTCAGTCAGCTCCGATCCCATAGGCTTGGATCCCCAGAAATAAGGGCAAGAAAGAAAAGCTCCCAAGATTTTCAAATCGCCATGAAAGCTCTCAATACCAGCACGCACGGCGATGTTATGTACAATATTACCTCCAGCACTGTCCCCACCAATGAAAACCCTCTCAAAATCACCATGGTTGATCAACCAGAGTTCTTTATCGCCACCATCATCATTTCCGTCAACGGCGTGTGAAGCGACCCACTGAGTAGCATCCCAGCAATCTTCATAAGCCGCAGGCAAAGGGTGCTCTGGAGCGAGCCTGTACTCGACTGCAACTATAAGAGCTTTCGATTCAGATGCAATTAGGTTCATGTATCGGTGGCTTAAGAAAGAGAAGGTGGATCCGGCGCAGAAGCCTCCGCCGTGGAAGTAGACTAAGATGGGGAGCTTTTGGGTGGTGGTGGTGGTGGTGGTTTTGGGGAGGTTTGGGAGATAGAGTCTGGCGGAGATGAGTGATGAGATGGTGGTGTCTTTGGAGGAGACGCCGGTGGCTGGGTCTTCTGGAGATGGTGGGACGTGGGGTGAGCCAATGAGTCTTTCCACCGTGCCGTCTTTGTAGACTCGGAGGATAGGGGCGAGGTCAACGGCTACCTCCTTGGCGTCGGAAGCCATGAGAGAGATGTAAAGACACAGCGACGTGCGATACAATATATAGGGAAATTAGATGTAACTCATGTCCCATAGAAATATATAATTCGAGCATTTAAAAAAAATTGATATTACTATATTAAATAATCATTATATAATTAATTTTTATTCATTATTTTTAAAAAAATTGACAATTTTTTTTCAAAATATATAAATTAAAAAAAATATCCATACGTGTAAGTTATTGTGTATAAACAATATCCAAACTAAAAATTATATTGAGTCACCAATAAATAAAAAATTAAATAATTCAACTTGCGACAGAAATGAACGAAAAAAATATACGAAAATAAGATTCAAATTCATAGCCCTCTTATTCTATAGATATGGAGGTAACACATCAATACCTTATTGAAAATATAATTGTTAAATTATAATTTTTGAAGTTACAAATTATAATTTTTAAATGACATAATCATTCTTCAATTGTAGTGATTGATTATGGAAGTTATGATAAAGTTATAATTTTTAAAAAATAAATTATAATTCATAAAAAAATACAACTATATAAGAAATTTCATAACATAACATAGTAGTAGTAAAAAATTCAAGATTTTTAATAAAAATGAATAGCAGCAGCTTTACAAATCGACATGAAGGCAAAGGAGAATATTAAGTTATTTTAGACTTAATTTATCATCTAACTTATTAATTCCTTGTCTATTAGATTAAAATTTCTTGTTAATTTATATAATAGGTTAATAAATTAAATTTAAATAATATTATATTATAATTTTTAAAAAATCTGCCTAGTAGTTTACCAAACACACTTTTTGTGGAATATTTCAAAGGTGTGACCATTTATCGTCACCCAAGTGTTACATTTAATATAACGTTCATACTATGGCGTTTGTATTACTACCATCATCATTTAATACTAGTGTAACGCCCCGATTTCTTGAGACGTTATTGGATGAAGGTTTGACAATTTACATTCAATTGAAAATGATAGAATGCTACTTGTCTTAATAAAATTACAATTATTAATTTAGTCTTCAAATATGCATAATTCTCCCGCTTTCAAATCACAAAAAAAAACTATATTGATTTTTTAAATTTTTCGTTTTCAACTTAAAAGTATTAAATATAACTGAAAAGTATACAATATAAAGAGAAGCATTATCTTCAATGACCAATACAATCGAATAACCAATTAAATAAAGGATTTATAATAAATATAAAGTTTCTCAAATAGGAGATATGAATCAACACATACTTCATGGAGTAATACTATTTTGACCTAAAAATCTGACCTAATTTGTTAACTTAATGATATAGCTTTAGTAGAATCATTGGATCAATACCAAGTTTTAAGGTTTGTTGGGTCCTTCAGTTAATCCAAATGTCATAATGAATTAGGTATGTAAATTAGGTGCCTATAGCATCGCTTTATTTCATATATCACTCTTCATACAATATCATAACACAAATGTGTACCTCAACCCAATCCCACAAATCTCTTGTTCGACGATACATTGGATTATATTCAAAAAAAAATTCTATGAGAATCACACAACACTAATTGGAATACAAATTCAAAATAATCATCGAATCACTCTATGTAAAGAGATTCAAGAAGAAGCAACAAACAAGGAAAGTAGGTTCATTTCTAACAGAGTAATCCCTTATTTCGGATTGAAAATGTTAATGGGGCGAGAATTGAAATTGGGGACTTTTCTACCACTTGTGTCTATCTCTTGTCAAGTATGCCCTAGATATAGACTACGTACACATCCACCATATTCAAGAACACACGTAACTTGTTCCTTTATTCTATTACTAGTTATTGTATGTGCCTGAAGACATAGAGTAATAAAAAATGGTAAATAATAAACATATTTTTATTTATATTCAAAATCAAATTACAAACATAGAGAAGAGATAAATGAATTTAAATATCAATTTGTAGTTGAGGTAAGAGGTGATTGATGACAGTGGTGGTGGTAAGAGACGGTGATGGTTGTGGTGGGTGATGATGACTGTGGTGGCAGTGGTGGTGGTGGTGGTGCTGGCAGCGACAGTGGGAGGGATGGTGGTGGTGGTGGTGGCGGCAGTGGCAGTGGCGATGGCGATAGTGGCAGTGGTGGTGGTGGTGGCAATGATGGTGATAGTGGTGGCGATAGCGGTGGTGGCGGTAGTAGTGGTGGTTGTGGCAGTGGTGGCGACGACGACGATGGCGCTGGTGGCGGCAACGGTGGTGGTGGTAGGGGTTGGGGTGGTGGCGGAAGTAGTGGTGGTAGGGCTGTTTCAAATACTATTTTTTAAAAAATATTTTTATGAAAAATAATTTCTAAAATACTTTTAAAAAGTCACTCAAAAGCCCTATTTTTCCTACTAAATTTAGGGTATTAATATTAGTCGTTAGATTAATTTTAAAGTAAATTTTAAAGAGATCTCAACCGCGAATAGTAAAAATCATTTTATTTATCTTTTGAAATTTGAATTGTAAGGTACTTTATTGTATAGATTTTAATTTTTTCTTATTTATCCGTTTTTCTTACTTATTTTAAACTAGGAAACTTTGGTTCACCATTTTTTATATTGTTGTACCTAATAGTGATACTATTAGATTCAACTCATATATAAATAAATTTGGCGCCACCTAATGAGAATCATGTGGTTAAATTCAGCCATCGAGTTTGAACGATGAGATGTCCGAACCTTGAGTGTTTATCGATCCGAACTGTTAAAATTTTTAGTTTAATAGTCAGGAATATCCAAATTAACTTATGCGCACTTCGATTAATCTTCTTTACGATCCGTTCAAATACAGGTCACTCATGTCAAAACTAAGAAATTTAAAAGGGATAAATCCCTTGTGACAGACTCTAAGAAGTTGTCAAAATTCAAACTCAAGTTTATATATATATATAACATAAACTAGAAAAATTAAACATTAATCTCATATGCTACTATATGATTCTTTCGATTGAACATAACTCTAACTAAAAATTGCATTCCTTACATGTGCCATACATTTAGAAACTTACACAACAGGAACAAATTCATCTCTCATGATGAGCGATTAACATTCAAGTTCAAGCGTATAATTGACGTAAATATATAGACACCTATGGTAAAAAAAAAAAAACGAACAAAGTCACTGTGCAATAAAAGAAGCCAAGCGATTTATGAGATTCTTTGCACTCTCAGTGTCGGGAGTGATGATGTGAAAACAATGGTCTTCTCCTTCAACCTCAACAAGCTCCACTTCACCTTTCCATCCACTTCCTTCCTTCACAGCCTCAACATAATGTACACCTCTGTCCCTTAGATGATCCTTCTCTGCAACACACACCAACACCTTCGAGCATCCAAGCCCCGACAAGCTTGGCGCATCACCGGCAAATGGATTGATCATTGGGTTGTCGATGCCACTAGGCGCCGATGGATAAGCACACATCCACAATCTATATATCGTAACATGTCAATTTGAATCTGTCGATATTATTAATTAATCTTAATTTCACACGTTTAAATAAACGTGCTAGATATTTTGACATAATTAGACCTATTTAACCGTGTCATCTTGATTAAACTCACTATTCACAGTTTCATATAAATTAAGATCATTTTGGTTTGTATGTTAGAACATTAATGTTACACTGATTAAATTTTGTGATCAAATTTGGAGTTCAAATGACATGACCGTTGACTTGGATTTCTTTATTTGATATCATGTCATTTGAACCCCAATAAAAACTCTAAATAATATGTTGTCATATAATTTAAACTCTAAATTTAATTCCAAAATTTAATCAGTATAGTATTACTCATGTTAGAAAGGTTAAGTAGAAAATGGTTTAATTATACAAAGAGTCGTACAATATTTGCTCAAAAGATGAAACAAATGATTAAATTAAATATTTTTTTAACGAATCTTAGATTATATTTTTCATATTTAACATTAATCTTGATCTATTTATTATTCGCACTAAAGTGTCGTGTGTTTTATTTTCTCATTTGTATAATTTTTTATTTCTTTTTTTTTTTTGGTTATATAATTGGAGTTGTCCGAACTAATTTGTACGTAAAAATTAGAGAATTCATAAAAGATAAATCTTATATAACTTGATTCTAAAAAAATATCAAGATTTAAACTTAAAAGTCGTTCTACTTGTCATTTGAACTACCTTAATATATATAAATTTTTACTTGGTGTAGAAAAAACTTTATAAACACAGCTAATTCCACTGTCTATTTTACCTGTAAAGCAACATCTGTTCACGGCTTTCAGTCGGCTCCGATCCCATAGGCTTGGATCCCCAGAAGTAAGGGCAAGAAATAAAAGCTCCCAAAATCTTCAAATCGCCATGAAAGCTCTCAACACCAGCACGCATGGCGATGTTATGTACAATATTACCTCCAGCACTGTCCCCACCAATGAAAATCCTCTCAAAATCGCCATGGTTGATCAACCAGAGTTCTTTATCGCCACCATCATCATTTCCGTCAACGGCGTGTGAAGCGACCCACTGAGTAGCATCCCAGCAATCTTCATAAGCCGCAGGCAAAGGGTGCTCTGGAGCGAGCCTGTACTCGACTGCAACTATAAGAGCTTTCGATTCAGATGCAATTAGGTTCATGTATCGGTGGCTTAAGAAAGAGAAGGTGGATCCGGCGCAGAAGCCTCCGCCGTGGAAGTAGACTAAGATGGGGAGCTTTTGGGTGGTGGTGGTGGTGGTGGTTTTGGGGAGGTTTGGGAGATAGAGTCTGGCGGAGATGAGTGGTGAGATGGTGGGGTCTTTGGAGGAGACGCCGGTGGTTGGGTCTTCTGGAGATGGTGGGACGTGGGTTGAGCCAAAGAGTCGTTCCACCGTGCCGTCTTTGTAGACTCGGAGGACAGGGACGAGGTCAGTGGCTACCTCCTTGGTGTCGGAAGCCATGCGCGAGAGAGAGAGAGATGTGGAGGCGTAAGGATTCGTTTGATGCAAAAAAAAAAAAAACTTTTTAAAAATTGTATG